GGGTGGTGGAGCAGGACTAATAAAAGCAGATGATCTGGAGTGAGCAAGCAGCTGTGGCATTAAGGATCGTGACAAACAGGGATTGGGGCAGAGCACGGAGCTTTCCTGGGGACACAGGAGGAGTGAAGCCAGGAGCCCTCAGGACATGGCTCTGGGTCACCAGTGTGGAATTCCTGGAGTTTTTTCCACCCCTCTCCACACAGATGAGTAGAGGTGGACTCAAAGGTCTTCCCCTCACCATAGAGCCCTTGGTGTCCTCAGCCACTGCTGTGACACCTCTCACCGTGTCCCCACAAGTGCCATTTCTAGAATCGGCATCTCCTTCTTCCTCTGAGCAAAACCCCGATGTGGCTTTTACAGAAAGTAACCGAGAGATCCATGAAAAACTGAAATAATTAAATTAAATAATTAAAACACGGTGAGCTCCTAAATATCCCAGTCCTCTTGGAAGTGATGCAATCCCCACGTTTGCACCAGGCAGGGCCCCATGGATCTGGACAAGGAGTGTCCAGCCAGGTGGACAAATGGACACAGCCGGGGTGTCCTGCAGCTGTAAATGATGTTCTCCCTCCTGCCACAGAAAAGTGAATTAGATGGACCCTCCACCCACCCAGCCTGCTGGGGGAGAAATGTCTCTTGGGAATGAGGACATTCCTGCATGGAATTTCACTGCCATTTGCTTCCCAATGTTGTTGGCTTCTGGTGGAGCATCTGCTGTAAATCACTGCCAGAAATGGGATGCCAGGCTAAAAAAATTATCATTTCTGTAGGGCAATAACTATATTCCTGTGACATGCCAGGAGGTTGGGAGAAGAAATTTAAATTACAGTGAAAAATCAAGTACTGCTGTTCTAACCTGAGCCTTAGTCATGACCTGCTCCAAACAGAGTGGAGGAAGAGGAAGATGCTGACTTCCCTGTCCTATGGGAATTTGTGTTGCCAAATTAATTTCCAAATCGATTTAGTATTTAAAGTTACCTGTGAACATATGGGTATCTCAAAGCAAGTGCATGCTGGCTGGGGAAAATTTTGCCTACACTTTTTATTGAGGAATACAGAGGGATGAATATACTCAATCTTCTATAAGCACAACAGAATATTAATAATAATAATTTCTATTATCCTCTGCATTGTTTTTCTTAACAGTAAATAACACATTTAGACCTTTCCCCTTCACAGAGCTGCTGCTGGTTTAACTCGACCATGAGCATGAGAGAAATCCCACAGAATCCCAGAATTCCACAGAAAAGTACAACTTACCAGTCACCTAAATAATCAATCAGTGCAATTCCAATCAGTTGCCATTTAAGTACCACACTGCTCTGGTTAAACCTGTCTGAAATGAGAAGGACAATCAGTTGCCATCTCTTCCTGTGATCTCCTCAAAGCTGGACTCGACTGACAGCAGCTCTGCCAACACTTGGAGGAGCTGGGTGAAAACAAGGTTTTGCACACCAGGAGTGAGGAATTTTTTTTGTAGATCACACTGCAATTACATGAAATTAAAATGCAAAGTGGGCACTTGTGTATTTTTGTTTTTAAAAAGGGATTAATGCACACTTGCCTGTTTCTGGGTGTGTTTTGAAGCAGCTGTATTTGGCACCGCTGTTTTTGTGCTGCTGCACATCCCGAGTTAGTGCTGTTTGCCATTTGGAAGTGTCCTCAGGAATTCTGGGTCCCACTGGCAGAAAAACCCAGCGTGGCTGAGGCAGAGCATTGCTGGTGCCCAGCCCTGGCTCTTCAAAGGCTGCCTCGTGCCCAGTCAAACATCCTCCAAAATCCCAGACTGGGGATAGGAATTGAGTTCCCAAAGTTGAACCGTCTCTCCAAGCACTGAAATCCCACTCCTGACAGCTGCTTCTTTCCAAGACAGGTGGGACAGGGCTTGGAGCAACCTGGTCCAGTGTGGAAGGTGTCCCTGCCATGTCAGGGTTTGGAACTGGATCATCTTTAAGGTCCCTACCAACTCAAACCATCCATCCTGTGTTTCTGTGATGATTCTGGGATTCCTTGCATGCACTCATCATCTTCAGGATCAAAAAAATCCCTGGGCAAGGAGACCATGTGATTTCTCCCAGAGCCTGCAGAAAGCAGTGATGATGTTGGTTGTCCTTTGGAGCCGGTGTTGGGATCTTTGGAATGCCACACCAAAGCCAGGGTGGGCAAATTCACCAAGCAGGACCCCATTCCATGCAAAGGCAGACACAAATATCATTTCATTCCCAAGGAGAACAACCCTCCCTTTCCTCCCTTACCTCTCCTGGTGCCTTCAGCATCCTCTAATCCACAGGGTCAAACAATGGTGCAGCTCCAGGATTTCAGTGGATGGAAGGGAAAGTTGGATCCTGAACATTTTATTAACCCCTAATTGAACCTGAGGATTTTTTTGTTCCCCTTAAGCTTTTAAACCAAAATTGTGACTCTAAAAAACATACATATTCTAGCAAGGAGCTGGGGCAAGTTAGCTCAGTTTTTTCACAGAATTGGTTGTTTTACCTTTGGATTGATCAAAGCCTCCATCAGCACAGTCAGTGTTGTTATTTTCTGTGGTTTGATCCACGCTCGCAGAAAAATTTACATTTTATGTAGATAGTTCCTAACATATTTTCACTCTCTCATGCAAAAAGGAGGGGATTTCTTGGAATTTGATAAAGAGATGAGATTTCAGGGCTGCCTTTGGAGACTTCACTGAACCCCTTTGGCATTTGTAGACCTTCCTTCACCCAAGCACTGTCAACCTCACCTTGGAAAAGCCACCAATGTCCCCAATGGTTTCATAAAGAGCAATCCCCCAGCCTGAGCTGTGCTGGAAGGGGGAGCAGTAGATACCCACGCTGGCATTTACCCCTTTAATTCTGCATTAAAATGATAATCTCCAGTTCATCTCCATCACATGCTCCCTTTTCATCTGTCCCGTCCCCACGTCTCTTGGAAGAAGCACATAAGCCTGGATGTTGAAAGATCCTTAATGGCTCTTCTGAGGTCGAATCCCCTCCAGGACTTGATGTCAGGAGAGAAAAAAGCTCAAATTTGTCTCACCTGCTTCTCGAGCACTGCCAGCCCTTTCCAGGATTAAGTCATTATAATCCCCTTAAGCAGTCATGAAATAAAATAAACACAAGTGCGGTTTTCTGCTCAAAATAAAAATATTAAAGTTCATGTGAGGAAATGCTTTTGGAGTTGTGAGGACGAGGGAGATTTTGCATGATTTTCAAATGCAGATGACTGATGTCTTTGCACAGAGTTTTATGATGTGGTTTTTGGGCTCTCACTTTGCCACTGAGCTACTCCCCCTCATTAAAAACTTTTGCCCATTTTAACCCGAACTTTCCACAGACTCCTGTAAACTTCCAGAGTAAGCACAGAGCAAAAACTCTCTGAACTCCTAAAGGAATCAAACTGATGCAATTTATTTCCACAGAACCATGCAATATTCAATGATACACTGAATCCGTGTTTTTAACACTTTTTAAAGGACTAAAACCCTGGAAAGAATTAATTAGGCATGCTCTGAAGCCTGAGCATTTAACAGTTTTCCACTCGGTTGTAGAATTTTAAGACCACCAACACTGGATACTGGCAAAGATTATCAAAGGTATTCTGGGCTGAAATACAAACTAGTCAGAGGGCTTGGCCACTAAGTGACTGGAAAATACTTCATAAAAGCTTTAGCTGGGCTATTATATTTTGTAAAGAAATTTTGAGAAAAAAATCCACAGTATCCAGAAGGTTAAATTTAGGGCAGAGTGACTCATTGGGGAAAAATGTCCTGCAGGGAATATGGTCTCCTCTGCAGATCAAGCAAATTGTTCATGCAGCAGAGAGGTTTTTATGGACCCAGCCCTGCAAAGTGGGGCTGGAAGGGAAGGGTGGGCTGGGATCCACAAAGGATTCAGAATGTGGGGCTGGCTGGAGCATCCCCTGCACACCTGGAGCCAGCAGCCTCTGGAACTGCCAGGGATCCTGGCATGGAAACATCCCTCGTGCTGAACTGAGATGAAAATAGACAATAAAAAAAAATGGAAAGAATTTTTTTTTCTTTTTTTTCCCACATCTGATAAAATTTCCATTCCATTTTCTGGCATTCTTCCAACCACTTCTGTTGCCTACAACAGGATTACAAAGAAATCTACCCCACCAAAACAGCCACCTTTTCATAAGGTCTTTGATAGCCCATGATGATATTGCACAGAACTGATTTTGCATGATGGGAATCTCAACTGGAAAAAGTTCCTTATTTAAGTGCCTGATGCCCAGAAAAATGATGGATGCTGCACAAGGGTGACAAGGATGGATGCAAGACAAAGATGGCACAAACATCCAGGTATTTTGGACAAAAACAACCCAGTTTAGATGCAAAAGCATAAAACCAAAACAGTCAAAAAAAACAGCAAACAAAACCCAAGCAAGAATTAGCTAATCACAGTTTCTATCCTTGATTAAAATTCCTTGACAATAAGTTGATTTACTTTCCTTTTTGCTCTCCCACCATGGAATAAAAATGACCCACCTCAAYAAATCCTTCTGTAACTATTTATTGCACAGAATTTAAGGAGAAATTTCAAACACTGAGGACATTAAACCACAGGGGAACGGGGACATTCCAGCTCCAGGGAGCTGAGGACCTCCAGATTCAGGGGTTTTTCCTCTCTTTTGTATGAAATGGCTTTCACCAATGAACAGCCCATTTCCCTCCCTCTTTACAATCACTTTTCCTCACTCCCGACCTTGGGATCACCAGCCAAGGCTTGAAGGAGCTGCTGTTCCAAGGGGCTCTGCCTGGAATGACACCCAGAGAGACACCCCTGAGTGTCCCCARCTCCTGATGATGTCATTAAAGTCCCATTTGGGTTGGGCAATAAGAGCAGATTTCCACACAAACCACCCCGGATATTCCACCCTGCCCACGCACTCCTTCCCAAGGTGCATTTTATTTACATCAATCATTTTATTTACATCACCTACAGGTTGAGCAGCCCTCCAGGGAGGAACCAGACCCTTCATGGGGAGCCAGAGCATCCCTGGTGTTTGTACAACTCCAGAGGCAGCTCCTTCCTCACATCCTTGCTCCTGCCCCAGGTCTGGGGKGGAGGGATGGCACACACGGACTTGGAGCGGCTCTCCTTCACTTCCCGAACYGTCTCCGTGCTCCCCACTGCAGGAAGAGAAAAAAAAAATGAGGAACATCCTTCTTTGTGGGTCAGCAGGAATGAAGAAACACCAAATCGTCCGTGTGCTCACAGGGGATGAGCTGTTCCACCTGAAGGAACACTTCCCACTTATAAAAAAGGAGCGAAAACCAATGTTTCCATAGAAGAAAAAGCCAAAAAAAGGCAATTTAAACATAAAGTATTTAGATCAATATCACCATTTTTTTGTCAGTGGCCACCTGCATCAGTGACTACCTCAAAGCAGCTCTGGAAAATGCAGGTGTCCTGCTGGAGCACCTGGAATGTCACATTGACCCTTTAAGAGATTTTTGGGGAGGATGAACATGCAACCATAGAAGGGTAACAATCTCCTTCTCTGTCACCACTGTATGTCAGGAGCCATGGTGCTCATGTTTTCCTTTGTGGTAGTAAAAAAACTTAACCCAGAAACAATGTTTTTTATCACTTTTCTCTGCTTACACTTGTGGTTTTCTCCAGCAAGAATGTAATTGAAGTATTCCTGGTAAAGTGTGCATTAAAACAGTGACACCCCAGGTGTGGTGAGGTAACCTGACCTAGCTGGAGATGTCCCTGCTCRTGGCAGGGGTTTGGATTGGATGGCTTTGAAGGGGCCCTTCCCACCCAAACCATTCCCAGGCTGGGCTGGGAGGGGGCACCGGGGCTGGGAAGGCTCTCAGGTCTACCACTTAGTCCCATATCCTTYCTGTCACCTGCTGGGCCATCCCACAGGGGTGAGGGCAGGCAGGGGAGGGCAGGGAACCCCCATAGCTCCCCAACTTACGGGTGAAGGAGCGGCAGAGCTTGGGCTGTGGGGTGGCCTCACCCTGTGCTGAGCACGAGTCCTCCTTCTGGGACTGCAGGAGAGAAGGACTTTAGTGCCTTGTGAAACCTGTTCATGACATCCCTAAGGGTTCCACTCTCATCCATGGAACTTTTGCCACGTAAAAACAAACAAATAAAAAAAAAAGGATTGCTAAAAACAGACTGAAGAGATGGCAGGAAGTAYTTACAGATGCTGATTTGCGTAGAATACATACACAGAATCCTGGAAAAGCCTGGATTGGAAGGGACCTTAAAATCTTCTCATCCCAATCCCTCTGCTGTGGGAGGAGTCACCTTTCACAGGACCCAGTTGCTCCATCCAAACTGGCCCAAAACCTTCCAGGGATGAGGCATGCACAACCTCTCTCAACAACACTGGAAGTTCTTTACAGTCAAGAATTTAAAAATAAAAATCAGCCAGTAAGGCTGAAGCATAAAGAATCAAAATTGCACAATACAGCAATTATGAGTTCTGGAAGAGGTMTGAGCTCCCCAGGAATGGCTGGGCAGAGAGGATGGGCAGGAGCAGCCTCTCCAGGAKCCCRGAGAGTGGGGCAGGGAGGGAGRAAGGCAAAGCTGTGCCCAGGATATGGATGTTTCTCACCTTGGCTGTTCCCCACGTTGGCTGCAGGCCAAGGAGGCAGGTAACGAGCTGGCACTAACGAGCTCCCTGTCCTTTCACTCCAGTGCTAATCTCCACCCTCCAGGACGGAAAAAAATAGGAATGAAAAAAAAAAAAAATAAAAATCAGGTAGCACAATGCTGCCTGGATTGTTCGGTGCCTCTGTAAACTGGGGAATAAGTCTCTCACGCAGCTGCGATTTGGCACCTCGGTCCAGAAACCCAGACTGCCAAAATAACTCTGGACACCTCCCAGCCCGGCTTTCTGTTTTGTTTCGGTTCGCTCTCCTCCCCTCCCCTAACGAGGACCGCTGCCCTCCGTGCCTTGTTCTCACTTTTATTGACCATTTTCATAACAATGCCTTCCCGGCTCCCTGGAAAGCCATTCCCAGGGGCATTTAGCGATTCTCAGAGCATGCTCCATGAAAGGGCTCCGACATAATTACCCAAGGCACTGTGTCATTTACGCACATGGCTCGCAGGCAGCTCCAAATAATCTCCTTCTGGGGCAGCGCACTCGTGTTTTGGCAGGAGAAAAGAGGACCAAGTTGCCTGGCTACAGGTGCAGGGATTTGCTGGGTGCTCCGTGGTAAATAAAAGCTGTCCTGGGTYTCAGAACCCGCCCTGCCAGAGCGGGCTGGGCTGGATTTCTGCCTAAATTCAAGCAAACCCCAAATGYGGAGCCAGCAGCGGTGCACAGCTCCAGGAAGCAGCAGCCTTCGGCCGGAATTTTGTCCTTAGGCGGAGGAAGGCGAACTTTCTGCTGGAAATAGATCGTCTTGGAGTTAATCTCCGGGCTSCAGCTCAGAGCTGAAGTCACCTCGTTCTCCTGCCAAGGTCCCTGTGCCTGGTGTAAATCATTTAACCTGCTCTGGAGGGAGGGTTGTTCTTTTCTTGTGCTTCTCCCTGCTCTTTCCCCCGTTTGGTCTCCAAACTCTCCCCGCTGGAGGCTCCTAAAGCAGCCCAAGAGCCCCCTGTCCATGCTGGGAAAGCATCTGAAGAGCTGGAAACCCCTAAAGGCATCTAAAGCCACCCAGGAGAGGTGACTGAGAGCCACAGAATGTTCTGGGTTGGAAGGGACTTTWAAAAATCCCAATCCCAATCCCTCCTGGTTGAACCTGGTGTTGGTCACTGACCCGTGGCCATCCCGAGGAGGGCTCTGGTTCCTCCTCTGGAAGGAGATGGATTTTCCATCAGCCAGGATGAACTCAGCTCTTCCCCAGCCTCATGAAGCCACCAAATCCCACAAGGGTGTTCTCCTGCACATCCCTGATTTTGTGGGGTGGRGGGAGGAAAACTGAGCAGCCCCTAATAAAATATGAGTTTAACTGAGCTACAACAGCTTCATATTGAACAGCAAAGCTCTCACCAGCTTCACTAAAAAAGGAAAAACACTCACCAAGCTGAAAAAAATTGAGTTTCTACCAAAAAAAATCCCTAACAAAGAAATTTTCTAATTATTCCCAACTCCTAACTCTCGAAGTGTCACCAAAGCTTTTTCCAAGACTGGCAATGGAGTTGCAGGAGTTTCACCAGCACCRGAAGGGTTTCAGTGGCCCTTTGCTGGAAGTTTGTCTCCCATCCCTGGATTTCCAGCTGGATTTACAAACACAGTTGTAATGCTTCCATCTCGTGGTGAGATGCAGAACAGAAAATCGCGGGGAGTGACAGCATCCAAGCTTTTCCTGCTGACTCAAGAGCTGGAAGGMCAAGCCCTTCCCTTTGGGACCACAAAAGATGGAATATCTTACAACCAGGAAAATCTCTAACACTAACTATTGATATTTTTCATTAATATATTTTTCTAATCGGGAAAAATAGCATTTTCTTGTCAACTTCGCATGGAAGAAACATGAATAGCTGCTTTTTTGCCAAAAAACTTATGAGTATTGAGCTGCTTATAATAGGCTAAAATCTACTTTTTAGCACAGTGTTCCTCCTTTCTGCTGACAAATTCTGCCATCTGTCCTCCTACAGCACAAAGTAACAGCATTCAYCCACCCTCCTTAATATTATATAATATAATATATATAAAATTAATATGGTGTTAATATTTCAGGGCTCTGTTAGAGCATTATCCCATCACTTTGGGGCATAATTTTATTTCTATTCACAGTAAATGAGGCAGCCATTGTTAAAAATCAGCAGAAAAGCTGCTGGTGACACAAAACAGGTCTGGCTTCTCCTTTTGGGCACTCGAGGATGGTTCTTGGGTTGGAGCTGCCCTTACAGGTGTCACTGGGATCTGCTCCCAGTATTTRCTATCCCAGGCTGGASAGGGCAACCTGATCTARTGGARGGTGTCTCTGCTCATGGCAAAGGGCTGGAACTGGATGGTTTTTTGGTCCTTTCCAACCCAAACCACTCTGGGATTTACATTTGCTTCCCTCTGCCTGGCACTGAGCCAAGGTGGCTGCAGTGATGGAAGGGGTGAGATCAGCACCAAGTGACCCCAATGACACAGCAGTCAGTACTCAGCATCCAAGTGGCATTTTCCATAATCCAAAGTGTATTTCCCACCCTCAGAAGGCATTTTCCACCATCCCCAAGGCAGTACAGACACAGAGCGAATCCTAAGGCTTTTGCAATTCCCAAAAAAAAAACCCTTCTATTCCCCCAAAGCCCAGCTGCAAGCACTCAATGGAACAGCAGAAACAGCCTTCCCAAAGCCCCTGAATTTCCCACCAAATGCAGCAGAGAAGGGGAAAGCAGGAGCACAAGGGTTAACAATCAAATATCCTTAAAGTCGGGAACGTCGTGCTCCAAATCAGCCCGAGTTTGATGCTGCTCTTTTGAAGTTTAATTATACCAAATGTTCTACAGGAACATGCCATGTTCTTGCCTATCTATTCTGAATTGTAAGTACCAATCAGCATGTAAATGATCAAATTAAATCTTTTAAGTTGTTTGCAAGAGCCAGAACACCTTTCTGGGAAGGAAGGGCTGAGCAGCAGCAGCTTTTGGGGCGGTGTTGCTGTTCTCCGTGGGCTCCTCCATGATTGGCACTTCCACCAGGAAATTGGAGTGGAAAAAGGTCCCCAGCTCTCCCGAGTTCTTGTGCTGTCATGACAAATTGCTGTCTAAATAGGGGAAGGTGATTTATTTCCTTTTAAAAGGTCCTTTTGTTCCCCGTAGTGATGGAGCTTGGCGGCCCAGATGAGAGATCACAGCTCACACTTGGACAGTGCCCCAGCTCGAGCCATCAGAACCTAAAGCCAGAGCTCAGAATYCACAGAGTGAAGCCCAATCAGCAACATTTGCTCAGTAAAGAACTTGCCCAGCACGGGTGGAAGTGTGTGTTCACAAAGCACTGATGGGGGCTGTGCTCAGGGTGGCTCCTTGGTTTGCCAGAAGTTGGGTTGGGGCTCTTTTCCTTTAGTATTTCCTATTCACTGGAATGCTAWTTTGGATTGACACCCCTTTTAAATTTTAAATTAAAGTAACAAGATTTCTCTTGAAAAGGAAACCAGCAATAACCAGGCTGTAAGAAAAGCAGCCTGAGCACTGTCCTGTTTATTTGTGTTCCCTCTTACCTCCTTCCTGGAGCTGCAGGTGTCACTGCTCACCTCCACCAGCAGGTTCTTGTGCCGCARGATCAGGATTTCCTTGGCTCGCTCCGTGGGCTCGCTGTCGCCRGGCAGGGTGTGCCTGTTGTACGCTGGACCCTGCAAAGGGCACCAGGGATGATGTTGGACACGGGGCCAGCCCTGCCCTCCCTCCTKGAGAACACCCAGGACCATTCCCCCTGCTGCAGCAATCCCACCCGGTGATGGGGATTCACTGATTTGGGAGAGGTGGGGATGGAGGGAGCCACACAAGGGAGATGGGACTCCAAACTCTCCTTTTTTCATTATGCAAAGTCGCCCCAGAAATCACTGAATGACAAGACTGAGTCACACCTGGTGACAAAATGAGTGCCACGACTCTGCTCGAGGTGCCCTCACAGCCCCTCTAATGTTTTATATCAGCCCCACCTTCCCATACAAATCATGCAAACAATGGGAACTGTAAATCCTCCACCCAACCACACTGAAATCTCTCACTAACACCAGTGGGAGCTGGACAGCTCTGTCACTACAAGGGGTGAATGCAGGACTCATGAAAATGGGAGCTCGGCCTTCATCCTCATCCCCTCCACCCTGTCCCGGGTTTCATTCCAGCCTTATACCACTGCTCCCCTTGGCTCAGTAAAGGACAGGAGGGTGAGGCTGATCCCTCATGCTGAGCTCCCACACCAGCCCACCCCTAAGGACTCCCTACTTTGGGTGTAACCCATAAAACAAAGGTTCAAGTGGATTTTAGGGCTAAGTCTCCCTAGGAACAGCAATTCCAATGCCTTTGGTGCATTGGAAATTCCCCASATGCTGAGTAAAACCCAGATAGAATCCATAATTCTGTAAACAGAAAGTGGGGGTTGTACCCTTTAACCACTGGTAGCAGCTCAACAGCAAAACTGCTGCGTGTTTTTAAAATCTCTACAGATTAATTCCCTCTCACAGCTCTCTCCCATGAGAAAAAAAATGCACCACGAGGACAATCCCATCCCTGCTCTGCCCCAGGAGTTGCTGCTGGAGCTGCTAACCCAGTGCCTGAAGCTCCACGTGCTCCTCCCTTCTCCCCTCTGCTGCCGAAAATATTCCATGAAATTACAGSCTGACTGGGGGAACCTTTCAGAGGCTGTCAGGCAGCAAACAGAAATGTGCCACTGACTTGGAAAGTGGATCTGGCTCCACACAGCCAACCATTCTCTGCTCACAAAGACACATCCTGGGTAATTATGGGAATATTCATAACATCTGCTCGGGCTGTTTGGATAACCGAGGGAATTTGTGCTGTTGGACGTTTGAAATATGGGTTGAGGGAGAAGTTATACCGTCCTCCTGATCCGGTACAGGTTCCTTGCCAAGATTTCGTGCATGTTATCCAGGGCATCRGGGTTGGGAGTTTCCTCCAGTTTTTGGTCTGTTCTGACAGTCCTGTCGCTGCTGCTGCAAAGGGAAAGGAGAACATGTTATCCTGGAAGATGAACAGGGAGTGCATCCCCAAATCCCAAGTGGCCAGAGAAGCCCTTTGGGGTCCCACACAGCCAGMGGGGCCAACAGCTCGTCCTTGCAGATGGAGCTCATGGCAAAGCAGGAATTTGGCATTTGCATCAGAGCTGTGCTGTCCAAAGCTCCCTGGTGGATAAAAGARCCACGGGGAGCTGTGGCAGAGCAGAGCCATCTGTGAGGTCTGAAAGRGCCATTCAGAACCTTTAATAGGGCAAACCCATCCAAAATTGGGCAGGAGCTTCKTCCTCAGAGCACCATTTCCACGTAACCCATGGGGAAACAATGGCCTTCTGTGTACCACCACCAGTGCCCAGTGATGCTCCTCCATGCCATCATTTTCAGCCCCATTTGTTGAGTTTTAAGCAGTGTTTGCTCACAGGAAGGAGGGATGGGCTGGGCCATGGCCCAGCTGCCCAGCCTGGGCCAGCTCGATGGCGTGTTTGCGCTCCAGCTTCTCGTAGAGCAGCACGATGCTGGATTTGGGCTGGTCRTACTCCCGGAGCAGGATCTTCTGCAGGTATTTGCTGTTGAAATATTCCAGTCTGGTGGAGAACAAAACAAGATGGGTTTAGCCTCCCCTCTGACCCCCCAGCACCCCCAAATCTGAGCAAGGCAGTGGGGGTCATAGCCAAACCATCCCATATTCCATTAAATCCCATTATATCCCAAATCCATGGCCCAAGAGGTCACTCCGTAATTGTTTCTCCACTATGGTACACGAGTCAAAATACCAAAACTTTCCCCAAAAGTGCCAAGTTTATCACAAACTCCTCTAGAAGTGCTACAAGATTTAAACAGTTCCAGATTCCCTCCTGAGCCATTTCCTCTTCCTTTCTGCTAAAATCGTTGAATAATTTAGGGTGGAAAAGACCTCTGAGATCATCAATCTCTCTAAGATCTGCTCTCGAGGAGCCAGGATGCTCCTCAGCAGCAGTGATTCCCATACCCTCTAGTGGCACTTCCAAGCATGGGCATCCCTAAAAAATAATCTCTACCAGCTGCATATTTCTGCACTGTCAAGGAATTAAACCTGGTACATTGTTTTTAGTGTATTTTACATTAGTGGTAATTTTTTTTAACTCTTGCTGCATGTTTAAAAATTTTCAAATGTACAAACTACCAGAATTTGATAAAATTAGAATAACTTGATACAGAAATCTGCAGGGATCCTCTGTAATTTCAGTCCAAAACCAGCAGTGCTGCAAACTCAGCTCTTTAATGTTAATTTTGCACAGCCTGGGACAGGCTGTGTGTCACGGCCATGGCATTTCCAGCAGATTTCTTTGGGCAAGGAGGGCCAAACACAAGAGGAGAGGAGAAAGGATCTTTTCAGGGTGATGCACAAGAGGTGTCTGCAAGCAGGGAAGTGCCCTGAGAACCTGGTGTCCCCTTGGACAAGGAAAAGCTGCCCCTCTGTCCCCTCCCTCGTGCCACAAGGATGAGCAAGGCCCACAGCAGAAACTTTGGGAAACCAGCATTTCCTTTTTTACCTACAGACATACACAGTCGTGACATCACACATTTTGACAAATCCTTACTTGTCTTTCCAGTAATACTGTCCCCAATGTCCAGAAATGTCTTCAATGCCAGCCAGCAAATGATCCAAGAACTGAAGAGGACAGAGGATTTCGCTCTACACCGGTTGCACAYGTGATRAACCCAGCCAGCAAACACCAAAAGGGATGAGAGGTGCTTCCAGCTCGGAATATGGAGCTGGGAAATGAGGAGAGGGGGCACTGGGATAATTCCCCATCCACCCATCCCCGTGTATCCACTGGTGCTGGAGTGCAATGAGTGATTTGCTTTCAGGGTGAGCAAGGTCAAAATAAATGCTGAGGGCCATGAATCTGCTCTCTGTGATAGGCATGGGTGGCTGATGGATCTCATGTCCTGCCCACTAGGCCCTGGCAAGCAGGAAAGACTCATTTTGGCATTTTTGAGGAAATCAGGAAACCAGTATCTTCAGGAGATAAATGTAGATAATACGTAAATGTTAATTTTGAATAATAAATACTGCCTTCCCCCAGATGCTTCCCACTAAATGAAATAATCCTATTATCTTTATATAAACACATAAGTATTTTTTGAAATTATATTAAAAATCCCAGACTGGTKGKGTTTTCCACCTAAAAGTTAAATCTCTGTARTTTCTATAATTCCCTAAACTGTTTTCCCTCCCAAAAGCACCTCTAAACTGGGAGAGGGCTCTGCTCTGCTGCCCCTCCACACCACATCAGGTACTGACAGCCCTGCAACTTCCTACAGCTCTAAATTTTTTGGAAATTATTTTTTGGTGGGGTCAGAGACAGAAAAGTTTCAGAGCAGCTGGCTCAGTCCTGCAGCCTGGTGTGGGTTTAGTGCCCTCACATGGCTGTTGGCAGCTGTGTGCTCTGAATGCCTCCAAAAACACAGCCCTGGAGGGAATCACCAAATTATCCCATCCCTGGAGGGAATCACCAAATTATCCCATCCCTGGA